GATCAAGATTTCTCCAAAATCCTTCAATAGTTGTACGTCTATTTGTATGACTGTTTATTAGCTTTTTCTCTCGCTAGCCAGTGAGTTCCAGGAGGGCTGGTACTTGTGTCTGGCCAAGGTTCTGAGGATCTCGAACTCTCTTTTCCCCCGACTGGTTTCTTTCCAACCCCCACCCCTTTCTTCTCCTGTCTCTCTTTCTTCTCTTCCTTTCTACTTAATTTCCCTTCTCACAGATAGTCCCCTGCCCCTCACTTCCCATAAAAAGGGTTTTAAAAAATATTCCTGAAGGTAGAAAGCACAAAGGGGCAAAAACTTGCATATTTCAGAGAGGAACTCCCAGACGTTTGCCTTTACTATAGCGAAGTGTGGGAGAGGTGAGTTTGGAGGCAGCTCTTCTATTTTAAGAAGCTTTGGATTTTATTTGATCATTGTGTGCCAGTGAGGAATTGTTAAGCTGGGAGCTTTTTATTCAAATTTGCATTTGAAATAAACAACTTGTAGTAGTCTGGAGGGTGGAGCATGGAGGGTGGGCTGTGACTGGATAGACTGCTTAGGATGCTGTTGCAGCGGTCCAGGTAAGAAGGAAAAGAGCGAACAGTCATGGGTTGGTTAACCAGGGATGGCTTGAGAGATTGAAGATTTAAAATTGGTGGGATGTGGTAGTGGGTTTGGGAGGTATTAGAAAGTGAGGACTGAAGGAGGATCCCTAGACTTAATCCAGTGGCTGAGAAGATGATGGTGTCCTTACCTGCCTTTGGTAATGCAAGTGACGGAAGGGGTTGGGGTGAGTAAGCTGAGCAGGGTCTTGGGCATGTCAAACGTGAGGGATGTTGGCGGCTGTGTATGACCGCTTTACTCCCGGGGAGAGATCAGAGCTGGAGGTGAGGACCACGAGCTTCTGCGGAATTGCTTTGTGACTCTCACACCTTCCTACTTCGACACTGACGTTCCCAGTTTTTATAAGCCGAAGTTGGACAATAAACAAGTGAAGGTTTGGGGGTATCATGGAGTTTTAGAAGGCTCTGCTGCTGCTACCTGTCAGTTACTACTTGTAGTAGGACTGGCCCTCCTTGCTTAGTATCTCAGTATGGCCGGGAAGATCAGATGAAAAGCATAGAAAAATTTTCCTTCTATTTAGTGCTGAAGTTACCGATGGCCTTTGCTAGAGCAGTGGGGTGGTGGGGAGAAGTCAGGTTGCATTGGGTGTGAAGTACTGGGGAGGTGGGGACGCGGAGATGTTTCTGAAGTGACGGGGAAGAGGAGTGGCGGTGCGTAGCCAGAGGAGTCAGACCACGGTTAGACGGAGGGGTTGCGTTTCTGGAGGGGAGGGTTGTATGGAGCAAGATCTTGGCGGAGGGAAAGATCACTGGTGGGCTTTCAGGGAGGGCTGTTACCCAGATATGTTTGAGCTTTTCCAAATAATCTGTAGGTGAAAAGGGACTTAGAATAGGATTTATTGATTATTGAGTAGAGCTCAATCATTCTGATTCAGGCTACCGTCTTCTCTAATTTTGAGTTACACTCAGCTTGCGTTGGTCTCTTCTCTTTTCACAGTAGCTGGAGGGACCTCTCGAGAATGTACTGTGGTTATTTTATTCTTAATAGATCTGATGCCTCTAGGAGGTGTTCAGTCCCAGACATTGGAAAGCCCATGGTGGGCGGGGGGTGGTGGCGGTGGCAGTGGCGATGGCAGTGGCGATGGCAGTGGCGATGGCAGTGGCTCACTGGAAGGGAACCAGGGTAGTGAGTGGATTTGGAATCTTGCGAGGAACAGATGAGGAAATTAGAGCTCTTGGGCCTTGAGAAGGAAAGTCTCTGGTGACATGTAGTGGCTCTTTGCCAGTATTGGACTGATTTTCACTTGCCAGAGACTTGAGGTGTGCCCTGTAGTGGTAGAAACTTGGGGAGTTTATTGGCGCAGTGCAAGAAAGACTTTAAAGTAATTTCTAATGAAAATATATGCATATTTTAAAATTAATTTTTAGAAGGCTAAACTTGGCTATTTAAAATGCAATTTGGAGACCTCATTGGAAAGAGTTTGGTCTTTTTTTTTTTTTTTTTTACTCGAGGCAACCCTTGGTCGACCTCACAGATTGCAAGGACCTTGTTAGCTTACAATCCTTTATTTTTTTATTTTTATATTTTTATGCCTACAGCACTTGGTCTTCCTAGATGGTCTCCCATCCAAGTACTAACCAGGCCTTGGCCCTGTTTAGCTTCCGAGATCAGATGAGATTGGACTTGTTCAGGATGGCGTGGCCGTAGATAGATCTTGGTCTTTTTAGTCATGAAAACCCAGGTTCGAATCTTTGTTCCGCCACCTTGACTATAGGCGAGTTGTTTAACCCTCAGCTCCATTTTTCTCGTGTCACATCGGGGTTGTTGTGAAGCTTGAATGAAATTAAATGAGGTAATAGATGTGTAAAAGCCCAGCCTCAGTTCTCAGTGGATGTTAATTCCATTTTTACAGGAATGAGTCCAACTTTACATGAATTTGATGGAAGGCAGTCTCCTGGAAGGTCCTTTAGCAGTGGTTGGATCACTGCTCCGTGGGCATGCTTTCTTACCTGGTGGTTTAACCTGTCTCAGAGGAGTTGGACTGAATGACCTCTTAAGTCTAAGAATAATTGGAGGAAAAACAAAAGACCAACCTCGTAGCAATGAGCACCCCTAGAACCCAGATTGTGATCTTAATACATAGTAAAGAGAGTCCAGTTCCTTGGCGGAACTATTGGTTCTGGGTCCGAGGCCAGGAATAATACATGCGGAGCCTGGAACGTTTTCACATACCAGGTCGAAACTTATTAAAGACTACGAGGGTTGTGTCAGAAGGAAGGACTCAGGAGCCAACCTGAAGAGTCCGCCACTGGTCAAAGATGAGACAGTTTGATAAATTAATTACAGAATAATTAATAATTCTAAGAATAATTATAGTGAGTTGAAATACATTAATAAAAACGATTTGTTACCGTTGGAGGATGCTATTGAACCAAGTAATTACTTTGAAAACAAAGTGAAAGAATCAAGGCTTTTCATTCCTTTCCTATATGAGCTATGCTATTGGGTAACAATACCAAATAGTATAAGAGGAAAGTTTTCTTATTTATTTTCCCTAAATAAAGAAGGAATGATGGAATGATAGAATACAGTCACTTTGCAACCTTCGTGAACTTAGGGATCTAAGTGTTGGTCTTCAAGGACTGCTAGTCTCACAAAGCCAGCCGGGCAGTCTGCGCCTCTTGATGGAATAACACACCAAACTACCACATGGAAGTCGTCTTGGCAAATCTGATGAGGTCTCTGTATCCAGTCGCCAATTTATATGAAATGCAGAGTACAGAGAACTGTGTTAAACTATATCAGAGCGATAAAATCTGCAAAATCCAGACTTTTTAAAAAATATTTTACTTTTTAGAGATAACATTCTGAAATATTTACAGACCAATTAAAAATTCCCTTCAAAGATTAAAAAAAAAAACCCGTCATTTCCTTCAAAAAATTTTAAAAGCCAAAGATTTCCTTTAGCATAATAGCAAAGGAGGATTAGATGGCGTAGTAAAAGGAGCAGGATTGGCCATGGGTCGTTGGCTTGGGGGCTGGATGGTCGGGACATGGGAGTTTCTTATGTTCTCGGTGCTTTTATATATGTTTAAAATTGTCTATAAGCAAATATTTTTAAAAGCAGTGGAAAGAGAAGATATAAACATTGAAAATAAATTCAGTCTCACTTTACTAATACATATATATATATTTTTGGTATAACTTTCTACATGTGTACACATTTTTATATTTACTATGCATATACTATTTTTCTGCCATTTTCTGCCACTCCGCTTGGCCTTCATATTTTTTAATGTGTAATTAGATTAGTCCCCTTTACTTTCGCGAATAAAGCTTAGCAATTTGGGGGATTTTTAAAATGCTTCTGTTGAAGTTTTCTTTAGGCTAAACAATTAAATAAAGTACCTGGTCCCTTTCGCCCTGGGTGTCTATTACTGTAAAGAACTTCAGGCAGCCCCCAGATAACCAGCTACTCCTGAAAGTAGTTTTCCCACTCGTTTGACGCAGTTCTGCAGTAGCATCTTACGCTTGCCATTTTTTGCTAAGGTTTCCCCCTTCCTCTTTTTAAGTAAAAACATCCCATAAAATTAAACAAAATACTCTTCTTTACTGATAATACTCTTCTATACTGATAATATTGCTTTCATTAAAATGAATTATGAAATATAGGCATATTAATGTATAAAATGTGACAGGCCTCTACATAGTCAGCACCAAGTTAAAAAAAAACATTGCAGGTGTAATTTATATAACCCTTTATCCCTGTGCAGATAGAACGTGATCCTGAATTTTGTATTTGTCAATTCATATTTGTTTCTATGCTTTTGCTACAAATTTTATATGTTCTTAAACAGTATATTTTTATATGTCCTTAAATAGTATAAACCTATATAAAAGTATCTTTTTTAAGCTTCTGTATTTTGCTTTTTCTTTTGGGTAGCATACTTTGTTACGTATTTTGTTAAATGTTAGCACATCATTGTTGAAGTGGTTCTGATTTATACTCCCACAAATACTGCTTGAGAATTTCCATTGCTTTATATCCTTACCAACAACTGGTATTGTCAGGTTTATTAATTTGTATTAATCTAATGGATATAAGATGATATTTCATTTTTGTTTTAATCCTATATTACTTTTATAATTTGGAGAAAAGTATCCCCTCCATACCTTCCAAGCTTCTCAGAGACATGCCACAGTACCTTTTAAGTTAGGGAATTGTCACATGGTTGTCTAGTTATTTCTCAATAAACTACTCTCAGTGTGCTATGACAGGAGGTTGTATTAAAGCTAAAATCTTGGGTACCTTGAGATAACGGGATTTCTTTCTGTTCTTTTAAAGAATGAAAATGAAAAATTTTATGTTACATAAGAACAAAGTTCATAGTGCCAGGATAGTTGACATTTCATTTTTATATTCTGTGTCTCTTCTGTTCCAGGCTCCGAGCTCTGTCCAGTGGTGGGAGCATTACGTCCCCTCCTCTTTCTCCAGCATTGCCGAAGTATAAATTAGCAGACTATCGTTATGGCAGAGAAGAAATGTTAGCACTTTTCCTTAAAGACAACAAGGTAAGAAAGTAGGAAAGAGTTCAGAGTTATGAATGAGTTTTTGGTTTATGTACAGTGGTATATTAACACATGAAGGACCCATGGGTTTACTTTCTACGTTACGTTTTTTTCACGTCGAAAGCTACAATAGTTAACAGAAGCTCTTCTAAGTGCAGCGCGCTCTGTTTTTTAGAGAAGATCCAAGATTTCTTTGCAGGAGTAGAAAGCTTCGTGGACACAGGAAGAGTTGTCAGCACTAGCACTTTGTCGAACTGGTTTCCTCGTAACCTCTCCTTCGTGTCCGTTTCTGTCCCAGTCAGATGGCTGACCAAGAAGAATCTCTCCCTTCTCTCGTTGCACCTCTTCTTTCCAGTTCGAAGTTAGGAGTGAGAAGAGGAATTGTTTTGTTCTTTTTCTTTTTGAGTTAAATGTGAAATTTTTAGTAGAGGGAAAAACCTCAATGTGATGCCACATGTGTGTCACTTATAAATGATCAAAACTCAAACAGTACAAAGTACACTTTTATTACCTGACTAGTGAGAAATAGTATTTTCTATTTTAAAATACCCTTTGTTTTTAATTTTATCAGTGGATGAACCTCCAGTTTTAGTGATGGTTGCTTGTAAAACTCTCCTTACCACCTTGTGCTTTGAGTGAAATGCAGAGATTTTTATTCTGTCACTGGGCACTCTGGAATACCAGAGTTAGCGCTGTATCAAATCTGAGAGTAATAGTCTGATGGCAGGATAGGGAAGGTGACTGGGGTTTTTAACATTTGACCCCTCAGGATGTGTAAGTACCACCAAAGTTAATCGTTGCTGAATAAGCTTTAATCCATACTTACAATTAGCAACAGATACCGAAGAGTGTTTTCTTGTTTTAGCTTTTTGAATTGGAGGGTTAGCATTAATGTCATGATCATGTGTTTGCTCAAACAGATACCTTCAGACCTTCTGGATAAAGAATTTCTGCCTATACTGCAGGAGGAGCCTCTGCCGCCGTTGGCTCTTGTACCCTTTACAGAAGAAGAACAGGTTTGTGCCTAGCGCTGGGCCTCAGGTCAAACCCCGTTCCTTCCCTCTGAGTGAGGTGTGGAGATCGGAGGTTACCGCTTAGGCAGTGAGGAGTCACCAGCATCCCCACAGGTCTGCTCCCCTCCGGTGGTTTCTTGGTGTGTGGATGCCTCGCTTGGTTGACGATTTTGCGTTAGATCCCAGGCTGCTGAGTGTTGTGTACAGATAAGGGAGTGCATCTGGGCCCTTAGGGACAATGGCAACCTTTCCTTAGAACTCACCCCAGATGAGAGACAGACAGACAGACAGAGAGAGAGCTATTTGTGGGAGACAGCCTTCTCGTCAGAACAGTGTGGTCTTTTAGGAGTGATTGGCAACCTAAACTTCTACTGATTTGTTCTGCCATTAAAGGGAAGTGTAGATCTTTAGCTTAAAATGTGCTCCAAAATATTTTTCTGTCACCAGCTTTTTAAATGATATTGTGAAAAAATTAGGCTTTCAGGCTGGAAAGGAGCAGATGTGTTGTCCCATTATAGTGTACTATGTCCAAAGATCAATAAGACAGTTTCTGGTTTCAAGGGAGTTACAGTGAAATTGGAGAAATAAGAGCTTTGTTGGAATGCTGGAATGCAACTTTAAGTGAAGAATCATTACTTTTTTTTTAAAAAAAAAAAGAAAAAACAGCTTTATTGAGACATAATCCATATGCCGTAAAGTTCATCCTTTTAAAGTATACAATTCAGTGGTTTTTAGTATATTCACAGAGTTGTATAACCATTACCATTCTCTAGTTCTAGAACATTTCCGTTATGACTTTTGTGACGACTCTGGATGTTTTCTCTATGTTCTGGCCATATTTTGCATGAGAAAGTCACTCTGTTATGACAGAAAAGCTTTTTAGAAGAATTGTGTTACAACTGCGTTAAGTTCTAAGAAAGGTGTGATGTTGATCTTTGGTGATTTTCAGCAACGTACTTTCATGAGTAATTGTTTTGTTTTGTTTATGGTTTCTTCTAAGTCAGGCTTCTGTCTTTGTTCATGAAGCCTAGTGTCATTTAGAGCAGCGGTCCCCAACCTTTCTGGCACCGGGGACCAGTGCTCCTAAGAGAATCTAATGCCTGAGGATCTGAGGCAGAGCTGAGGCGGTGATGCCAGCGCTGGGGAGTGGCTCCAAATACAGATGAAGCTTTGCTTGCTAGCCCTCTGCTCACCTCCTGCAGCTCAGTTCCTACCAGGCCACAGACCAGTGTACCGGTCCACAGCCCGGGGTTTGGGACTCCCGATCTAGAGTTATCAGTAGATATTCTCATTGACTAAAAGTGTTTACTGCTGCTGTAAAAAGTACTCAGAAAAGAAAGTCCTGTCTCCAGTGATTGCTGAAAAGTTCCTTTGCAAAAAAATTGACACCTGGCTATATTTTGGCTTAATTTTTCTTAAAAACATTTTTATTATGAAGTATTTCAAATAGACGAGTATAGAGCATATTGTTACACCAGTATGTTTATAATTCAGATATGTGAAATCTCAAAATTATGGCACATTTGTATGTCTGTTTTAATAAAATTCCTCATGTAGTTGAGACTGCCTGGGGTATATTCCTTCCTCCCTTCCTAGAGATTACTATGAATTGGGTTACTTTTCTCATTCATGTTTTAATGTTTCCACCACATATTTGTGTATCCATATGCCATAAAAGTTTCATTTTATTGGGCTCTACATTTTATACTGAAGATAACATACTGTAGTTTTTAATTTCTCAGCTTGCTTTTTTTCTTTCACTAATGATTTTTATGTTTTTGTTGATACACATAGCTTTAGTTCATTCATCTCTGCTGCATAGTATTGCATGTGTGAGAAAATCCTATTTTTTAATAAACCTCTGCTTAGATATTTAGGTTGTTTCGAATTTTTGCTCTTAAATGGAATCACTGGGTTTTGCTTTTTTGTGTTTTTTTAAACTTTACTGGGTATGGCCACATTAGTTTCTATAGGGATTTAAGCCAGTTTGCACTCTGACCAGCAATGTATGAGAGATCTCATTATTATGCAACCCTTCAGTTCTTGGTTTTTAAATTTTGGCCAAAATGATGACTGTGTTGGTTGTTTTTAATATGTATATCACTAGTTACTAGTGAGGTTGAGTATCTTTTCATAGGCTTATGGGCCATTATGGCTTTTGATATGTTTGTGTCCTTTGCCCATTGTTCTGTAGGATTGTCTTTCATGTTGAATTTACGATTTCTTTATACTTTAAAATCAATAAAATACTTATTTATTATTATAAAAGGTACTCATATTCATTGTAGAAAATGCAGAAACGTATAAAGAAAATCTCACCCGTAAACTTACCATGTAGACAATTACTTGTTAACATTTAGTATGTTTTATAGCAGTCTGTTTCCTTTGTATATCTTTAGTTGTCAAAATATATCAATATATTCAGAATTTAACGGCATATTAAAAGGATTCTACACCCTGACCGAGTAGGGTTTAGCCCCAGGATGTAGGGGCGGAACAACATAAGAGAATCAGTGTAGCACACCACAGTAACAGAACGAAGGAAGAAAACCACTCGACATCTTACTAGATGCAGAAAAGCGTTTGACAGAATTCGGTGCCCTTTCATGATAAAACACTCATTGAATTAAGAATAGAAAGGAACTTCATCAGCTTGATTTCAGGGCATTTATACAAAACCCACAGCTAACATCATAATAGTCATGTGTCACTTAATGATGAGGATATATTCTGAGAAATGTGTTGTTAGGTAATTTTGTCGTGTGCGAATATCATCGAGTGTACTTACGCAAAACCAGTTGGTATGGTATAGTCTACTACATACCTGGCCTCTTGCTCCTAGGCTAAAAACCTATACAGCATATTACTGGACAGAATACTGTAGGCAGTTGTAACACAGTGGTAAATATTTGTGTATCCAAACATAGAGAAGGCACAGTAAAAACACATAAACCAGTAACATAGTCATTTATTATTATCAGATATTATATACTGTACATAATTGTATGTGGTATACTTTTAGATGACTGGCAGCATAGTAGGTTTACGCTAGCATCACCACAAACACGTGAGTAATGCATTGCACTATGCCATTGCAATGGCCAGGACGTCACTAGGCGATAGGAATTTTTCAGCTCCATTATAATCTTACAGGACTACTGTATATGTGGTCCATTGTTGACTGAAATGTGGCACAGGACTATACTTACTGGTGAAAGACTGAAAGCTTTCCCCTGAGATTGGGAACACAATGAGGATGCCCACTTTCACTACTGATAATCCAGCATTGTGTTGGAAATCCTAGCCAGAGCAATTAGGTGAGACAAAAGAAATAAAAGGCATCCACATTGGAAGAGAAGAAGTAAAACTATCTCTGTTAGCAGATGACATGATCCTGCATATAGAAAATCCGAAAGAATCTGTAAGAAAACTGTTAGCACTAATAAATGAACCTAGCACACTTGTAGAGTGCAGAGTTAGCACACAAAGCTCATTGGTATTCCCATACACCAGCAATGGACAGTTTGCAAAGGAAATTAGAAAATAATTCCATTTACAGTAGCATCAAAAACAATAAAATGCTCATGAATAAATTTAACCAAGGAAGTGTGAGACTTTTACGCTAAAAAGTACAAAACATTGTTGAAAGAAATTAAAGCAGACTTAAATAAATGGAAAGGCACCAGTGTTTATTAAGCCTTAGAACATTTAATATTGTTAATCGATTTATTGCCAGTGCAATCCCCATCAAAATCCCGATGGCTTTTTCGGGGGGAGAAATTGACAAGCTGATTCTAAAATTTATGGAATCGCGAGGGATCCCAAATAGTCAAAACGATTTTGAAAAAGAGCAGAATGAGAGGCTCATACTTTCTGATTTCCGAACTTACTGCAAAGTTACCAATAATCAAAACTGTGGCATAAGGACAGACATATATATCAGTGGAATGGAATTGAAAGTCCAGAAAGAAACTTGAATTGCTACCTACTGCTAAGAAGCTTTGTGTAAGGATATCTTGTCTCCCTGCTGCCAGAACTATAGCAATTTACCATTACTTTGGTCATATTCATTATTTTTATTTTTTCAAATTTATGTTTTGAGTAAGTGATAAATCACATAGTTTAAAAATCAAAATTTAAAGAATAGTATATAATAGGAAATCTCTTTCCCATTCTGTTCCCCCAGCTGCCTTTCTCCCTTTCCTAAAGGCAGCCAGTGTTAGCAGTTTCCTGTATATTTTTTCCAAGTGCATATTAAATAAATCCTCCCTTTTTTTGTATGTGATGGTGTACACTAAACATTCTTCTGTACTTCCAACTTTGAATGTTTTTATTGAAAATATTTTCTGTAAATTTGGAACAAATGTTTGTCCATTAGTTTAATTTACATTTCTTTCCCCAATGCAGTGCAGAGGTTTTCAAATGTTTGTATTTATATTTCTTTTAATTTTTTTGTTCTTCGCCAATATATCTTTTGGATAGTAATCTTTTTCTTGTTGATTTAATACTGTTTATATTAGCTAACCCTAACACATTTTCTAAACTTCAAAATTGCATTTAAGTTCATTTATGATTTTTTTAAAATACAGAAGTTAATTTTTATATAGCTCAGAATACCAGTTTTAATCTGTAATTATTCTTCCAAGTTTTTTTTAGCTGTTTATACATATATTTAATAATTTTATTTTTCCTTAAGTGATTTCTTAGGTTTTGTAGAGACTGGGCAGAAAAGCTTTTTAATAAGTAGGGTGGAGGACTTGCTACTAGTTACCAAAACTCAATAGATTTAATCAACAGAACAAGTAATTGAATCATTTAGAAACATCCCATAACATTTCTAAGATTACTATTTAGTAAGTGGCTATATAAATCATCTGGAAAATCAAGGGTTATTCAATAAATGCCTCCAGGGACTGCTGGTTAACAGTTTGAAAAAGAATAAAGTTAGGTATGCAATATACCTACACACCAAAACTAGTTCTAGAATAACTTAAGGGGAAAATCTTCATTTTCTTTTTGTAATGGAAAAGTTTATCTTACGGTGTTAAGTTCTGGCTGCTATAATTATAGGGGCTTAATATAAGAATTGGGAAATTTTCAGGCAGTCACAGAAGATCACCAGGGTCTATATTTAGAAGCATTTAAAATGCATAATTTAGGATTTCCTGGCACTTATTTGGTAGCCTTTTTTATTTATAAAATACGACAGAGTAGGACAGTGCTTAAAGGTGGCAAAAGATCCATTAACATTTTGAGGTTTGTCCTTTGGATGGGCAGGCTCCCCTTCAGGAATTATTTAGATCTTTGTAGACTAGAGTTTTACATAACTTTTTCACCCATTATTTCTTTTGGGGAAGGGAATACTTTAGTAACCTAAAACAGCTTCTTGTTGCCTATCTTAAGTTTCCTGGTTACCTGAAATAGATATTTTATCTTTAAAATGCAAGTTAATTTTGTATATTCTCTCTATATGTGTACCCCTGCATGCATGTACAAATAAAATATAGCTAGGAAAAAAAGTTTTCTTAGAACAAAATTGATGATCAGAGATCTTCTAGTTGCTCTTTTGGTTTGGCGTTTCCCTCGAATGTGTATCTCAGTTTGATAAGCCTGATTCTATACACCTATAATTTAGGTAGCTGTTACCAGATTGGCGAATTCTATTTATTTGCCAGCAAAGAAAATTACTTCATATATGTACCTAAAAAATTTAAAAAGCACATATAATGAAAAGCAAGTCCATGAGTCACCCACACTCTTACTGTTTGTTCTTCCTTAGGAGTAACCAGGGTTTTCATTTTCTTGTGTTCCCTTCATGGGTGTTTAATACATCTGCAACGATTATACAGTTGATCCTTGAACAACGCCAGGGTTAGCAGCCCTGACCCCTGTACAGTCGAAAGTCCACATATGAATTTTGACTCCTTAGAAACTTTACTAATAGCCTGCTGTGGACCAGAAGCCTTGCCGATAGCATAAACAATCCATTAACACGTATTTTGTATATCTATGATATACTGTATTCTTACAATAAAGCTAGAGAAAAGACAGTATTACTAAAAATCATATGGAAGAGAAAATGCATTTACAGTATTTATTTAAAAAAATTCATGCATAAGAACTTGCGCAATTCAAGCCATGTTGTTCAAAGGGTCAGCTGTAATCGATTCCTTTAAACACAGCCACGTAGATGGTCGGATGCTGTGCACGTAGTCTACACCTCACTGTTTTCACCTAAGCATCTATTTAGGAGATGATGGCAAATACTTATTTAGCTTTTAATATGGGTAGAGCACTGTTCCTAGCACTTGTTTAATGTGTTAAGTAGTTGCAACAATCCAGAAAGTAGATACAAATGTTATTCCTATCCACATTATATAGATGAGGGGAAAGAGGCGCAGAGAAGTTGGGTAAAGGAGCCAAAAGTTAGTCTCAGGCATGTTCCTAAGTACAATTCTGCTTTTATTATATATATATGTAAATATTTTTATATGTTAGGTTGACCATGTGAGACTGCAGTTTTTGTGGATCAGAAATGATTGAATATTAGCAATTTCATACGGTTCAGCCTAATAAATAATTGCCTTATTTTTTAAAACAACTACATAGAATTCATGTATGGACGACTGTGATTTTTCAACAAGCTCCTATTGGTTTATACTAAGCAGGTTTCCATTTTTGCTTTTATAAAAATACACTAATACAGTTAAAGATCTTTATGCTTATTTTTCACAAATGTAAGATGAATTGTTTCAAAGGTCATGAATATTTAAATATACTTTCAGAAATTGCCTTCTAGAAATTGTATCAAGTGTACTTGGAGCTGCAATGTGTGAGGCTGTAATAAGCATATGAGAGGTTCCCCGTACCCTACAGTGGGTGCATTTGAGATTTATACACGTGGTAGTTTGGTAGCGAGTTGTCAGCTGCATGGGATCCTGGCATACAGTATGCAGTTAACGTTAACTTCTGGCTTGTCAATGTTAGATTATATTAATTTAGATTTCGAGGCTTCACAGTCTTTCTTTATTGAGTCCCCAGAGGCATTATTCAGTAACTCTACTGGTTACTCTGTGCTGAAAGGTAAGTTAATGCATTATTTCAACCAGCTTTTTTTTTTTTTCAATTAAGTTTTATTAATATAGTTTGAAATAAGTGTTTTCAATTTTTAGTTACCGATTACATCTTAGGTCTTCACTTTTAAAGTTACATTTATATAATTATATATCAAACTCAAAGGAAGAAAACTTACTTACATTGATAAGTTTCTGAAATTTACCCGAACAAATTATCGAACACAGTTCTGATAAAGATAAGTAATGAGACCTGTATGAGAAAATGACCCATAAGTTAAAACAAGAAATTCAATAATGAAAGAAGTTTTCAACCATTTATATGTTGATTCAACCATTTATATCTTCTAAAGAGATATAGACATCACATTTCAATTAATTTTGAATCAAAACAGCACATCAGGACTTCATAGTGGAAAATAATTTGGACTAAAATTATTAGTTGAAAAAAAAATTGCAACCTAATTCTTAAGTCTCACTTCTTGTCCTTCTCCAGGAGGTTCCCTTGGCTGTAGCCATGCCCAGGTTGCATTTTCCTCAGTGTGCCACACCTCTGCACTTTTGTACAAATGTCTTTTAGGTTCAAAGTGTATAGGAAGAATTCAGGTAAAAATACATTCCAACATTTGCTGAGTTTAAAACTCTCTTGGAATTCTGCTTCAAATTAAAGTTGACCTTTGAACAATGCAGGTGTTGGGGTGCCGACCTGCACAATCAAAAACTGCTTAAAACTACTGTATTTTATAGATTATTTTCTAAGATTTTTATAATGTTTTTTTGCTTTACTTATTCCGAAGCCCCGTATATTATATTTGTCCAGATGTGTCAACTAAACATATTTTTGGCTCCCAGGCCTCCTGTCTTCCTGTGTTCCTCTTCACGTTTGCAGGATGCCCACCCACTGCTCTCTCAGGGGTGCGCTTGACCCTGTTTCAGATTAGCCGTGGGTGCAAGTGTAGGTTCATGACTGAGTGATTGGGGTTTTGTTTATTTTTTTCAAGCATTCCTTCCCCCTCCCCATTAAGGTAGTTGATCTTACGTAGATTCTCATTTGGCCCTTCCTCATTTCTGATTCCTATAATTCTATTAAATACTACTTGGAGTTGCTAATTCACTTGGTGAGCAGAATGAGGCAAAAATGATCACTTTCCTCTTTTCATGCTACTCTTGATTCAGATCTTTTTGTGACTCCCTCTCATTTCTGCCTTTCACTAGTTAAGGGACCCTTTCAAATCAGATCTCTTTGACCAAATTTTCTCTATTATGATGAATATTTACCCTATGTGCTTCAGGACACATACAGCATTTAGAGTTTGTTTAATTGTTCCTCACTGAACCTAGCATAGTGTAAGGTATTGGTTGCCAGTGTTGATCTGAAATGTTTATTTGAAATTTTCAGCTAAAATCAGGTTTTGGATTGTCTGAATATGTTGCGTAGTTATGTTTTCCCATTGCTAAGTAGTACTTAGATGCCATTTTATAGATGCAGTGGGAGATGGGAAGAAGCAACATGGAGTTTTACCTGTTTTATCCATTTTTTCTTTCTTTTTTCTTTTCTTTTCTTTTCTTTTTTTTTTGGCAGAGAAACTTTTCCATGTCTGTAAATAGTGCCGCTGTCCTGCGATTGACAGGACGAGGAGGAGGAGGAACAGTGGTGGGGGCTCCTAGAGGTCGCAGCTCTTCACGAGGGCGAGGTGAGCGTTCCTGTGAAACAGTCGTAATGGAGGAGGACAGGGAAATCGCTTGAAAAAGATTTTACTACCTAAGTTTTTAAAAAACTGTTCTTTGACATTAACTGCATTCTAAACGTCCTGAACATTTGTTTTCTGAACCAGTTCCCGGTGTATCTGCTTCACAAGCCCTGATGTGGAGCAGAGGAGGGTAATTCTAGCTTAGAAATTTGAATGCAGAGGATTCTAGATGGTCCTGGTTAACCCTGGAAGATCCTCAGCATCCATAGTCCTCACTCCCAGCAAGCCTTGCACTTTGAGAGCCAGAGCTCCCTAAAGTGTCTTGCTGCTGGAGCAGCACTGAAGTCCCTGCAGGCCTCTGTGACACAGGGTTTCTCAATAAGTCCATGTGCCAAGAGTGTCCCCAGTCAGACAGAGACTTTAGCAAAAGACGTCTCATCAATACTAGGGCTATTTTAGGGAGTAGAACAAAAAATAATTATGCAGCAGTCATTTATTTAACCTGTAGTTGTATAGATTTGTGTCTTGTCTTAGAAGAATAATTCTTATTTCAATATTACTTGTTTCTTTGATATCTGCTGTCTATCTATTTTGGGTTTGTTGATTTTCTGCTATGAAGGGCATTCTTGATGTTTGGAATATAAGTATTTACTTGAACATTTACCTCTAAATTGGTTAAAATCATAGCCGTGGTCTAAACATACCTTGTAATTTTCTTTAAGAGGTGCTTTAGAAATGGAGGAATTGTGTGTCTGCAAAGACAGAGGCCATTGTGTCCACACATCGCACCACCCAGATTGGCGTGATCATGAGTATGGACTACCCAGATTCTTTTTTCTTAAAGTTGTGCCTTATGAATAGAGTAATTTATACTCAGTCTTTACAGAGACCGTATTAAATCGTGCATTCCTTTGAAGACATTTCTTCGGTAGCCCAGCCAGCACGTGGGAATGCAGGTGTGGTGAATAATGAACAGGCTAACTAAATGCCCACTTGTAGGCTAGGTACTGTCACCAAGTTGTACATACTTTTTCCTTTTAAATTTATTTGTCAGTCTCTAGAACAGTAGTTTTTAACCTGCGGAGTTGCTAGAATTATCTATAAAATTCACAAGAAATACCTTTGTGAGGGAATAATTTGGGGTGAGATTCAGGCTCATGTGTGCTTCAAAAGCCCCGCAGGTCCTTCTGATTTCTATGTGCAGCTAAGTTCCATTGGTCCGGAATTCGTCTGAGCTCTGTGCATCTTGGTGGTGCAGTAGTGTTTTGGAGATGGCTTTGGCCTCCTGTTAGGTGTTTCCTGTGCTTCCTGTGTTTCTCTGTGGTGGGCTGGCAGCAGGGAGAAGTGGTATGTGCTCAGCTCTGTCTCCAGTGCTTTTCTGGGCAAGTCAGAGAGAGACCTCGTTAATCAAGAGGTGTGGCCCACAGGCCAGCTGTTTTATGTGCCTCAAGTGACTACCAAATTTGAGTGCGGCAAATACCAGCCAATCTCTCTAAATAGGCTTAAAAAAGAATTCCATATCGAGAAACAAATGAAGGATTGGTAAATTTCTCCCCCACTTTCTGGTTTCTTTGAAGTATAGGGTTCTCATGTAGGTTAGCTCTCTTTCATTAGAATTTAAACAGGGCATGTACAAAACATGAGATACGGTAACGAAAGTAGTGAATTAATTAACACTGATGTGAAAGAATGGCTTGAAACTAGTCAAATGAATGAACTGACTGTGAAAAATACTTCAAACAACATTGTCCCAAGTGTGATTCTTTTTAATGTCCTTGTAAGACTGTTAATCTGTGGTTTTGTTATCTTTACTCGTTACTTAATTTTAACTTGTTGGTTAAATAATGATTATTGTGGCTTTTTTTTAAATGGGGAGAGCTAACATTAGATGATAATTGTGGCTCTTTCTGACTTGAGGAAACTTTGATGTGAAAATTGACAGACTTCCAGACTTCTAAATATCATGAACTAGTAAAATTTAAACAAATATGGGGAAACAACATAAAGTTGTCATCCTTCTATTTTATCTGGTTAAGGTGTTTAATAGTAAAGCAGTTCCAAACAACTGAGATCTGCCGTCAGCCTCTGTCAGCCACTGTCTTTATTAAAAGGTAGAATATTTTAATCCCCGAAAAGAATAGGGTGAAATCTCAGACAATAGGACAGTCCTTTAAATTGAGCTTTATGAAAGACTCATCATATTTACTTGCTTCTTCTTATCTGGAAACCAGACTTATAAATGATTATGGGCCTTGTACTTTGAAGATTGTTTCTAATGTTCTACAAGCTGGAAAGCTCTAGAATCTGATTCTTTTTATGTGCCAACTTATAAAGCTTTAGTCTCAAGGAGGACCAATGCTAATGCTAGTCACAACTGGCAGAAACTCTTTTATCTGTGGTTTGCTTGTTTTTCTGGCAATCTGGAGGCTATTTTTCATGTCCATATGTTTCTAGAATAAAAGACTTTTCCAAGATGATACATACTTAATGGTTTTCCTGAGAAAATTTTTCTCTAAAAGGACAGGGTACTTTTTTTCTTTCACTCTAAAAATGATCATTTCAGGGATCACCCCAGAGTTATATAACAGTTTGTATTACACTGTTTTAGGATCTTAAATAAAATGTATACGTTACCTAAGGAGAGAGACACTGAAACTAGGAGTTGACTTAAAGTTAAATTGATGCAACTAGAAGGTAAGTTTAAGATATTATATTTCAGCCCTCATCTTCAGTAACATTTTACAGATGAAAAATGGATACTAGGACTTATTGAGAAGGTACCCATTATTCCTAAGATTACCCGCACACAATTCTGTTCATTATTTTTGTGTTTCCTAATAAGATGTTAAAGTACACCTGTATTCTCAGTCAGTTCTTGAGAAATTATAACCAAGGTATAGAAGTACTGTATGGATATTTGAAATTATTATTTAACTCAGTTGTATTTAGCTTTGGAATGCATTCATGCTTTTATTCAAGATTCAGCATCATAGTCGTTTTACCCTCTTGGAGCAGTTGAGCTAGTGATGCTGGCTAAGATTTCATCTAGGCATAAATACATCCCTAGACTCCACCACCTTCCTCCAGTTTTCAAACCCGTGTTGGAAATATATGGCGCACATTGGTTGGGAATTCTCCGCACCGTACAGAAAGTATAAGGCTCGAAGTTCTTGGGTGTATATCCTTCCTGACCCCAGCTATGCAGCTATATCATTTATGGAAATGGAATCATTTTTGTATGTATTGTTCTTTGGTATGCTTTTGTCATTCATCAGAATAGTGTAAATTTCTTTTAATGGTAGTGCTTTATCTATTGTGGTTTCATAGTGTCCACTGAATTGTTTTATCAGAATTTATTTTGCCAGTCCTTTATTGATTAGGTTGTTTCTGACTTTTTAAATTACGGTGAACATCTTCATACATATGCATTTGCATATTTGTTAGAGTATTTCTGTAAGGAGCAATTCTAACTAGAATTCTTGAGTCAGATTTTGATAGGTCTGTAATGGCCAGTTTACACTTGAACCATTAGCACTTCTAAATCTCTGCATCTACACACTTTTACCAACCCTGTCGTTTGAATTTAGTTGTAATACTTTTTTTCAAGGTTTGAGCAAAGGAGAAAGAGTGATTGCTTTGGAATATCCTTTAAGGGGTTAATTCACAAAATTGATAGTTTAGAGTTGACCCTATTAACCTTTCTCTGGAGTTAAATTATTTAAACATTGTAGTTGGCTTTTGTACTTTATCTGCTCTCTTCCCCAAATCTCCAAAATCTTCCATTTTTGTTGAAATCCAATAAAAGGTTTAATTTGTAGTAGTGGTTTAATATTCATCTTGGAATTTTAGTATTGAACTTTTTATTGCAGAGCTCTCTGCAGACACCGTTTCTTGTTCTGGGCTGGGGCTGGGCCCTCACACCAGTTTGCTAACTTGTTTCTTTCAACCTCCTGAGCTCTAGTGATATCAGTGCGTTGTTGGGCCCATAGATGAAGATTCTTTGGGCTTCACTAAATATTTAAATGTAGACATCCTGCTTTGTATAGAGACAGAACTTAGAAGATTAATCTTTGGTGTTGAACGTGTGCCAAATGTTGACATCTATCATTTTTCTGTTTTCTTATTTTCAGGCAGAGGCAGAGGTGAATGTGGTTTTTACCAAAGAAGCTTTGATGAAGTTGAGGGTGTGTTTGGTCGAGGAGGTGGCAGGGAAATGCATAGGTCGCAGAGCTGGGAGGAAAGGTAACTAAAGGATCCACATCTTAATGTAACGGTTTCTTGGTGTAAAAAATTTCTGCTTTCTGCAGAGGAGAAGCCACTTCGTACAGTTGTAAATTTTCATTTTTTAAAAATATTAATTATTGAATGTCAAGTTATGAGTTAGAAATTTTTAAATGATCCTTATTTAAAGGAAGAAGCATTTTAGATAGTTTAATATAGTAGTGCCACCATGGGTAGTTAATAGTTAATTAGATTTGCTGTTTGATTAGCATTCAGTGGGAAGTATTGACATTTTATTAGTTTGTTCCTGTTAATTAAACCATCTTCTCTGTATTGTTTGTGACTTTACAGGCAGTTTATCAAGATAAGCAAGGACAAAAAGATTCAGGTGCAAAGATGTCTACTGTGATGAAATATATAATATAATTGGAAGTGAGCCAGACAGCTTAAACTCAGCATGCCTTCTTATATAATGGTATATCCACACAGTAGAATACTACATAACCATTAAAGTTAGGATTATTTTGAAAATAGTTAATGATGTGAGAAAGCACATTCAAAAAGCAGTATATAAAACTGTATACAGCATGTATCTAAAATAAGCATATATCTAATTAAAAATATCTAATGAAAAGATACCATTTCTGGGTCAGTAGAAGGTAGCTTTTGGTAACATGGTGGATATTTTTGTTTTTGTGCTTTTCTGTATTTTCCAAATGTTAGGCACTCATCATGCTATTAAAGAAAGATAGGGAAGTGGTTGTCACGGATGGGAAATCTATATATTACTCTTAAGTCTTGTTTGAAACTTATTTTATCTTTTCTAGGGGTGACAGACGTTTTGAAAAACCAGGACGAAAAGATGTAGGTAAGGCTTTCTTACTGTCTTGAACTATTTTTATCTGGACTTCCATGACATTAGTTCTTAACAAGGCTCTCACATGAGGGGATACTTTTATTAAAAATTGACTCAGTTGCCTGCACCTCTCCAGTAGGTGGGGTTGTAGCATTGCTTGCATCGAGAGTTACTTGAGGGCTCTATTGCATAAATTCAGGGATGAGGAATACAACCATTAGGGCTTATGTGATTTAACTTTTTAGGTCTGCGTGTTCTCTGCGAGGCATGTATTCTTTATTAAGGCTATCTCGTGAACTGAAATTCGTGTCAGGAACCAATCTATTAACTCCAGTGTAAATAGCATCTCATGAGTGAGAAGAAATAGGGAAAGTGCTAGAATGTTGGCTTTTATATAAGAGTGCAAAGGCTAAAACTACGATTGGTCTTTAGCCATTTATTCATCTGGTCTTTTTGATGTATAATCTTTGTTTCTTGTTTTGAAATAAGAGCAGCCAAAATTAATTATATACTTAAAGTAGGCACTGAATTACGACAAACGTAGTAAGAGAACAGCATTTCAATGTTTAAGGTGAATTAATCATAATTTAAACTAAAAATCTGTAATATTAAGATGGGCTTTCTGACTGATATAAAGGTGCTGCTACCTTATGGACTGCCAGTAGGTATTATTAATATCTGAGAGAAAAAATTCCAATTCATAGTGAGTAACATTGGAGTTTTGAAAATTACCACAAAAGCTCCAAATTCCTAAAAGTACCCAGGAAAGTTCTCCAGAGCTCGATTGTGTCTGACAGAGGTAAACAGTTCTCAAAAACATATGTTAAATATGTAAGTGTCACTCACGGACTGATTTTGTAGATTGTTGTTTAAAAACTGAGTAGTTATTACTTTTACTTCACTGTTTCCATATCAAATTCATTTTAGCATATCAGATATTCAAATTTCTCATTTATTAACATGATATTGGAGATATAAATGAAAAGCCATTAAATGAGTGTAGCATGAAGAAATTTGGAACAGACTGGGTAGATAACTTATCGCTTTACTCATATTGTAGACTATTCGCTAAGTATTACCTTGGGAATTTGTCAGGACCTCTGCTTCCATCCTGATCTGATTCAGTACTTTTGCCAGTGAATCCAGAGAGGAATAGTTCAGAGTCCAGAGTTTGGAGTCAGAAGATCACCAGTAATCCAAGCTCTCTGATAGTAGTCTCATGAGGCGATACAGATTTTTAGGATTAAGAACGAGTGTATGAACTCATTTATTCATTCAGTGATTGTTGAATTCCTAGTCATGGTAGGCCTTGTGCTAGGTGCTGAGTACTTATTCCTTTTTTTTGGATGACAATGTTGATGTGTGATCAGGTTTTCAAATCATTTATGTTTAGAGGAACAGTTGGGACTTTGGATCAGAATTAAGATGGAATAAGAAACCAGATATAATCAGATGGAAGTTTAACAGCAGAAAATGGAAAGTCTCTGGAAAGTCTCTCATAAATAAACTCTATAGTTTAACGAATGGAATAACTGTGACGGCAGCCTGTTGGGGGAAGGCACGGGTCCCTCTCACCTGCCCTGCTTAAGGTTAGTCAGCAGTGTGACGTGTCCCAAGCGCAGCCTTTGCTAGAACTACAGTGTCCACTGCGAGTCAGGTGACAGAGAGGCCGACTGCCTTTTATGTTGTCACAGGACAGTGCTGGGGCCACACCTTGAAAGGACCCGCACACTGGAGTGGGACGACTGGGGCCTTTGAAGTCCTGTGATGGAGAATGCACGGAGGAAATGAGGCTTGTTTAAATAAGAGACAAGACTGTGGACAGGACAGAGTAGAGAATTTATAGGATCACGCTCTGAAAATATTTGCTTAACAGTCATGTAAAAGAGGAATTTGACTTGATCTGTGTGAGTCTAAAGGGCAGCTTTAAGGAAGCAGATATTTGACACAGTCTTAAAAAAGATCTAATAATTAGAGTTCTCTGAAAATGACTTGAGTTGCCCAGTGGTGAGTTCCCTGTCATGAGGATGGCTTGATTTTAACTGTTGGACACATAGTCACACTTTGGTGATTTGGACTAGATGAGTATAGTTTCATCGTTACTTGCCTTTTGCATATTTTAACTATATTCATTTAGGGTGATTTCCCTAGTCACCCTCTGTTAAGAGTATGGGTTCTTTTCTTTGTTCCCTGTAGGTGTGTTTGTGAAAAGGCAAGTTCCATAAAACCAAATCGATGCGAAGTGGTTAAGAATGCTGAAGTTTTTCCTACTAAATTATCGGGGTATTTCTACATGTATATAGTCAAACATACATAGTGGCTTTTATGGAACGCTTTTTGATAAGATGTTCACTTAAGGTTATTATATTAATGATGTAATGATTTTGATCTTCTCTTTTTGTAAGTAATATACTTTTGTTGAGAATATTGTAGGTTTTAAAAAAATTGCTTGTATCTTATACTCTTCAAGAACAGCAGACCTAAAATAGTTTTTTTGGGACACTGATATATCAATTGTGAGATGTCCTGTGAGATTAAATGAATTTGAGTATCGAAGGTTTCAGAACGATTTGTTCTTTTTCAAATTAGAGGTGGTTCTTATCAAATATTTGCTTCTCATGTGGAAAGAAATAGGTGGAATTAGAGACATCTGGGTAGGAATTAGGCATAATGCCTGTGAACACCCAGGGGAGAATGTGGAGGTAGAAGAAGCCTGTGAGAATGGCATTGTCATTCTAGTCAGTCTGTTTACTCCATAGGGGGAGATCAGTTCCAGCTGTCATCTTGCAGTATGATTCTGTGAGGATGAAATTAAAAGATCGTTAAAAAATGAGAAATGATCCAGATGATACCGATAGGTTCACAACCAGTGTGATACCCATTAGTGCATTTGGTGTGAAGTAGACATAGCAATTTTTGGTTATTACTCTGCTGCTGGCAGTTGGTAATATGCGCTTGTCCGTAAATAAAACTAGGCCTTAATGGTTTTTAGTAACTACTTGCCTCCAGTTTGTTGGGACTGTCACACTAACTGTATTGGTTTGCAGAAGCACTTTTTAAGTTAGATGTCATGCGGTCTTCCTGATCTGAGATAGTGTCACTGAGCTCCCAGGTGGCCCAGGTTAGTGAGCTGCTGTTCCCACCTCCCAGTAACCCCTCTCTCCACTTCCATTTGCCCTCTATTCTTCTGAAAGGATAATGATGTCTTTGCAGAAAACTTAATCCTTCACATAGATTCTTTGAAGTGAAGGAATCATGAACAAACTTTCAGAAGCTTTTTTAGTTGTCTACTTGTGAAACTTTAAAAATAGCGTTAGTATACCAACAGAGTTTTTTTGGGGTGTGTGTAGGGGGAAGTCACATCTAGTTTTCAGATGCAGAGTTTATGTATAAATAGTGTACAGTGTGACTCATCTGACTTGATTGGAGGATTTGTGGCATCTATGGGGAGGCTTAGATTCCAGATCTTGCTCCCTCCCTTTGTTGTGTCATTTTGGGCAGCTTCACATAACTGTTGGAATTGTGATCTGTGTAAGTGACGTAGAGTTCTTAGGAAAAAACATACCATGTAAATCTTTGATAGAACTTTTATTTTCACAGGTTAGGTGAATCTTGTTACTTTATTCTAGAAATAAGAATTACTGTTGTCTATATGAGTTACAACAGTCTTGGGTTGGAAAAGATCTTTTGGTCTGGCTAGTACTTAAATTAAGAATGCCTAAGATTTTCAAACAGCAAAAGTTCACAGTGATTAAGTTTCTGCATCCTTGATATTCTTCTATTATCACTCTTAGGCTGCTCCAGAGTTCTTCATAATTTCTTTTCCTTTTGTTCAAAGAGTAGAAAAATGTGACTTGCTGCTGTGCCCTGCTCTTCACAACTGCTTGCCTTTACCGAACTAGTATTTATTTCAGAGATGATTCCTGCATGGGTCATCACCAGTGGGGAGGGTTAATCTTTCACTTTTCACACAGAAACCTGAATAAGGGAAATTTCAGAAGAAAAGAGCAGCCACACATCTATTTGAAATTTCGTAGGGTAACTTATTTGGTTCTTGTTTTGTTTGAGGATAGTTTGATACCTTTATTGAAATGAAAAGTATAGAAAGGATTGTCTTAAATTGGAGGTAAGGGAAAGGATTCATCTTAGTATGTATAAAATAAAAAATGAAGCAGAGAAAGTATAATTTTCATGGGGTATTGGATTTGGAGAGAAAGAATAGATTCATCTAGTCCAACCTCCTACTGGTGAATAAACACTCATTTTGTGTTTATAGAAAAAGCTATTTGAAGTTGGAAACAGGAATTTGGGTTTGAAAATAGTTCATTGCCTAATTATTTTTTTGCTTTATCTATTGGAGATTTTTTCCTAGTTGAATTATGTCTAAATCTTTTATATCTATAAAAAACTTAAATATATTTGCATTTACGAGTTACTCAGAGCTGTCATGGTTTTTTATGCTATTGAATGCATCATAGGTATGAAGGGAATGTTTTTACTTAGGTTGTAAGCCATTTAGAGGAGTAGTTGATTATAATTTTTAAATCACTATTTGATTATTATGCAGGGCAGCTTTAATATAGATATAATTTTGTATCTCACCAAAAATACCACCACAGGTTCCACTTGAGCTAGAGCTTATCTGGTTTTCTCTGATCACTTTCTGCCACAAATAAATGAATATGTATTTGGGTGTCATGCTCAAATGCTTTTGGAGTTATGCGTAGACCTATACTTTGCTGTTTTTCTTGTGAATTTTTGTTCTTAGCTGTTAAAAATTAAGGGGGTAATACTTACCCCAGTTTTGTAGCGTAAAGAACCAGAGGAATGGTCTTTGTCGTCTTGAAAAAATAACAGTTTTAAAAGGGTGGTCAACTAAATATTGTGAAATCATCTTTCTACCCAGGGAGCTAGGTTTGAAACTAGACTGCTGCTTCAACTTGCAGATGGAAATGAGTGGTTTATGGTTGATTTTCTTAGAGTTCAGCGGTATTAAACTTCACTGTCCATTTTAACGTCCTCATTGGTATCATGCCACATCCTTATAAATTCACCAACAACATTTCTGTATAAATATCTATCATGTCGCGATGTGTTGATTTCAGCAGATAACCACCGATACAAACTTGGAAAAGCAGAATATTACATTTCCAGAATGTTTGTTGCTAGCTCAGCCATTTTTTATGGGCATAGGCTTGATGACCGTGATGTAATCAGAGATGTGATCAGCATTGAAAAAAAACGAAACCATGAGATATGATGAAGGAAAAGTAGCTGCATAACTGGCTGGGTATATTTAATACATTAAAAAGTAGGGTACTATGGATACGTCTTATTCTGTCAGTCCTGTTTCAGAGATCTGAAAATTGTCCATGCTTTGTCCATTGATACGGATGTCGAGGTCAGTCCTGTTTGGGCTCTTAGAGACCAGAGGATTTGGAAGTTCAGGAACAGTTTTGTCAAAATTCTCCATCTTGATTTGATATTCTCCTTTGGAACCTCGGGTCAACAGAGATGCAAAACAGTGATGTAACATGATCTCCGAGGGTAGGTAGGATGTCCTCCTCTGGCATATTTCTCCAGTGCCTTCCTGCATTGCTGAAAGGAACACAACTAATTCAAAGTGGGGAGGATTTTCATGCTGGAGCAGAGTAGCCAGAGGGCTCGATGGTATAATGGAGTGGTAGTAGGTTAGTGGAAAGATAAAGAACGGACATTCCTCAGAACTGATGCCATCAAGGTGGAAGTCTACACTGGTCTGGTAGAGTTCGCCGTTTTCTCTTTCCTGATAGAGTATAGCCGAGACCCGAACACTGGTTAGAGGGCTAGGTCGAGTGTTGGCCACTTGGAATATAAGGTTAGGTTTGCCATCTACGTGAGCTACTACGGCTAATTCAGTGAAGCGAATGGAGAACGCGCGATTTTTTGGCCGAGCAATCTTCGCCACAAAGGCGCCTAAGTTAGAAACCATCAAGTTGTTTTTAGAATCAACACTTTAAATATCACTATTATCAAATAGTTATGTCATACATTTCTTGGTGCCATGCCTTCCAAACGAGTCAGGAATGGAACTCGTTAATTTGCGTAGTTACATTTGCCTAATTTTTCAAAGTGTACATATATTCTTATTTAAAAATTAAAAATTATGATTTCAAAATAGATAAAATTCATTTTGTTACATAGACATGTAATACTTTATCCTATATTTGTTATAACGTCATAGAATGGTTATTTTCTATATTCCTGTCCCTACTTTAAAAAATACACCAAAATAAATGTAATTTAGGCACAGCCAGATTACTTCAAGGCTAAACAGAGACTAGATTCCAAGTAGAACGATTCGGAGTGGGGAGGGGACTACAAGATACATTGAGAGATTTTAGCTTTGAAACTTGCGTAGCGCACCCCCTTTTTGAAGAAGACCTGGCCGTAAGGCGTTTTCAGTGCCCCTTTCAAGTGTATCCTTCTCGTCCCCACTAGCTGTGGATCAGGGTTTCCTAACCACTTTTGTGCCACAGAAATTCTTGGCAGACTGGTAAGGTCTATGGAATTATGCTTTAAATGCATGAAAATAAAATACATACGAAAGAAACCAAGTATATCGAAATCCAGTTGAACATTTAAAAAATTGTGTTATAGTTCTACATGCGATTTATTAATACATTAAATAACAAAATATAGTAGTGGGTTTAGTACTGTAATTTCAAAGTATTATAGTGCGATGTGAAAATATTTGCGATTTCTGTTGTATCAAAGTTACAGATACTGCTGATGCTATTTTTTGTTGTTGTTGTTATTGCCTACGTTTATAATCAAAGGAAATACCAAATTTCAGTTTGGGGTTGCAACTTAAAAGATGCAAGTTTTCCCTAAGTTCACAGGTCCCCTAAATTTTATCTAATTATAGACCCTGTTTAAAAACGCTTGTAAAGGTTAAATGGTGCGTTACAGGTTATAGAGCCAGTTGTTAGCACAATGGGACTTCATTCCAGGTCACCTTTCATGTGGCCCATTGCTTACCTTCTCAGATTATAACTAGGTAGGTGTTAAGACCAGGTTTCCTTTCTTTTTTCTTTTTTAATTGTATAAAGTGTGTTACTGGTTTATAAGCAGAATTTCATAATCCTTGTGGCCGTATTTCCAGTGCATTTTGCTAAGGATGCGTATACTGGTTCTTTAACATACAATGCTGATTTTGGTGCTCCAGGCTCACTCGTATTGAGTAAATGTTGAAAAGATGAACTCAGAGGAGAAAATTCTAGCCCAGTTTGAAAATAAGAAACATCAAATTCTTCCTCTGTTAGGTAAAATGATTTTCAAAATATGTGGTGATACTTATTCACTTATTTAACGAAATATTTAGCTTCTCTGAAAAAACTCCTTTTAGGCCTTTTGTTAATTTTTTTTTCTTTTTTGCATAAGATGTTGCTATTAGTGTCATAAGGATCCCTTTTTTCTTAAGAAGTTCAAGTAGGTAAAATTTAAGTATAGAGTCAGGAGAGACCTCTCATTTGTCCCTAAACTCTTTTTCAATCTTAGGTATTACCTGCTAACAATGCAAATAAATGATTCTATAACACAGTTCCTTATGACTGACTGTGCCCTCTCTAAAACATTCGTAATTATTTTAAAGAACAAAAACAGTTACCTGTGATAAAAGCCTCTAGCATGAGGCCTAGCAGCATTTGTATGGCAAGAAGGGCAATTGCACTTGGACAGTCACCACTGGGGAACATGGTACCGTAACCAATTGTGAGTTGTGTCTCCAGGGAGAAGGAAAATGCAGCTGTGAAACTGGTGATGTACTTGACACAGATAGTGTGGTTTTCAGGTGGGGCATCATGATCTAGTTCCAGGTCACCATTCATCTCAGCTAGCACATACCAGAGCACTGCAAAGACAAGCCAGTGGACAACAAAAGAAGCAGAAAAGACCAACATCATCCAGCGCCAGCGCATGTCCATTAGGATTCCCCAAGCATCTCGAAGATATACAAGACCTCTTTGAGCGCCATCCATTTGAAGTGTGCTGTGGCCATCCTTGGTGACCATCCTCCGGTATCTCTGAGTTAGGAGAGGAGCAATAACTTTGCAATTACTGCCATCCATCTCACGCTGTAAATCTCTGAAATAAGAGTAAATCAGTAAGCCTTTAACTGTTTTACAGTTAATAGTAATAAATTCTGAGACCTCATTCACTCTTTAATTTCTTTGGAATGCTTTCTTGACTATCAGGCAGGCTTTCCCAGTCTCACAGTTGCTTCTTCACATAAGGCGGCCTTTACTAAGTCATTCATTTGAAAGTTAACTGTGAGTTGCTTTAGGATGTCTCTTATTTTTCCCAGAATGACTGTTAAAATATTGTTTGGCATTTTAACATTTCCATATATTTAAAAAATCCCTGAGGGTTGGAGATTATGGTCATGGCTTATTGACACCCCTATATATTTCTTGACAGTCCGGGTATCAAGTATTTATTGATTTGACTAAATATTATGTGTAAATAAAAACTTTTCATAATTATTTAATGTATAATTATGACTAACTCATAATTAAAAGGAATGTTAAATATACATGTTCCTCTGTGTAAATAAATAGAAACCATTTGAAAGTGTCTGCAGATGTTTTGAAGCCAAACTTAGTGCTAGGAGAAGACTAAGCTTTTAGAGACCTGTAGTTCCTATATATGCTTTATAGTTAGCCTATTGAAAGTTTTACGATTAGGTTTTGTTTTTGTCACTTGACGGCCATTTGCATGGAGTCTTTTCTTCCCTGGCTGATGGATTGCTGCCCTTTTTGAATATTCTGGGTGCTGATTAGATTGTGGGGTAGAGAGGGAATTATTTTCTTGGCAAAATAAGAAATTCTAGGTAGAGATTCCTAGATAATATTGCTTCGAGAATAAACCAGAAGAGAAAGCTTCGAGTTTAAATGAATTAAAATAATCGCAAAGACATCAAAGGCAATTTTAAAAGATAAATAGAATAATTAGTTTTCAGTGTAAACAGTTTTCTTCAGTGGTTACCCTTTTCTCTGTGGAATGAGTAGAAATCTCATGTGCTTTCTATATGACCATTGTGTATGACAACGGCGAGAGGCATGTGGAGCTAGGTTGTTGCTTGGGTTTGCTGGATCCTTCCTGTGTCTGGGGCTTTGGAGACTGCTTTCCTGTGTTGTTGGGCTGGAACATAGGCCAGCTGGCTGTATACTTTCTCTTTTGTCCTGAAATGAATTTATCATTTACTGACGATAATTGAGACATTCTCTTTTATTTTCTTCAGAGTTGAGTTACTGATAGATCACTGGGATGATGGTTAAATTTATTTAGATTAGATGGCAATTTCAATTTCATATTATAAACTTTAAAACAATCTTAGAGCATTAATGTTTTATAACTTATTCTTAACAAGTTGTCATTATCATTTTATTTAATGTAGTTTTTTTCTTGGCATAGCTATTTAATGACTCATTTTGCTAGATTCTTTAAATGTTTTAGGAGACCTGATCTCTGTCCTTTTGGAAATAATAACAACAACAGAATATTCGCAGGCACTGTGCTTGGTGCTTTCATATTGCATTGTCTCCAATTCTTTGGTATCTCAGCACGAGAAACATTATCTGATTTTTTAGATGAGGTCACCGAATATCAGACAGATAAAAGAAATTTACACAAGGCAGAAGGGGGCCTTGGATTATTGGATTATTATCCAAGTCTGGTTAACTTCATAGTTGGGTAAATTTTTTTTTTTTTTTTTTTTACTACAAGAAGTTGTCTATTTAGAGTTTGGCGAAATGAAAATCCCAAGATAATTAATATTGCATTCACAGAATAATCTTCAACAGCCAGATTTTTTGGCACATTTAGTAGGTACTGTTCTTGTCCCCATAACTGTCTTGTGTCTATTTTAAAATCGTTGTTAACTCTATACATGATTCTTATGACAGTAACGATTAATAATACTAGCCAATGTATACTGTTTGTTATGTGCCAGGAATCACACCAAACACTTCACTTGTGTTAACTCATGTGAAGCCAATAGGCAGTGCCTGGCCAGAGTGACCTCCTAGCACTTGTTGCTTTATTGTTATTGATATTGTTTCTTAGCCTTCACAGTAATAAGTACCATTTTTGTGACCATTTACAGACAATGAAACTGAGGCACAGTGAGTTTCCTAAGATCGTGAAGGTAGTAAGTGGTGGCGTATCCCACACCGAGTCCATAGTCTAGAGCTAGTGCTATGACGCCTCAACGCTAGTCGTTTTGACCCTGCTTAGCCTCCATGAAGAACACATGTTCTGTTTGACTCAGTTTGTTCGAAAGTTGCTGCAGAGCACTTGTTCCTCGGGAGGCTTGCCCGGGCCGGACCTGCGACTTGTAGGCCGGAGCGGTATTCCAGCTCGGGAAGACGTCCCGCAGGACGCTGATGCAGCCGGAATCGTTACGTGGTCCGGTCCAGGGCTCCGTAGGCTGGCAGACTTAAAACAAAATGCGGACGGGAGTTCGTATGTAGCATTGCCAAACTTGTATTTTGCCAGGTGAGGAAATAATTTTTAAAATGTAATACTACCATAATTTTATAAAAGATACTTTGACACTTGAAAAGGAAGAAGGATATAACAGTAAAGGATGGTTTGCTGCGAACCGCTGCGTGCTTTTGCGTCGTCCACAGCGTCATCCTTTATTTCTTGCTTCCTGCTCATGTGAAAACGCCCGTCACGGACCTCTACACTTGTGCCAGTTCCACTTAAGGAACCGCTGATTGCTCAGAGTTGCACAGTAATTCTGGCGGGGAAGCGCCAGGATTCTTGGTCTTCAGCCTGCTTTATTAAGTTCTAAAATGCATTACCCGGGATGATAGCCTTTCTATCTATGCTGTGGCCAAGAAAATGAGCTGTTCTCATTTGGGCCTTTTCAGCATTGTTACTGGTTACCTGCAGCTTTTGTAGCACTCCTGCTCTAGGCTTTTACAATTTCATTCTTTTTCTCAGCTAACTAGCTAAATACATGGCAAAACCTTTGAACAGGGAAGTCAAAAGACTAATTTCAAAACAGTGAAGCAATATCTCTTTTATATATAAAACCTTCCTAGATCTTGTTTAGATTGTGTCGAGGAGTGGAGTAGTTAAGAGAAGCAAGATTTCTATCCCCACTTAACAGATCGCCCTGAATGGCTCCATTCTTTGGACTCGTGTGGTCAGTGTGTTTAGCATAAGCAAGACAAGGTGGGAAATCCAGCTGGCCAGGCTCTGGCCTGGTGACTACAGAGCTGTGTCAGTGTAGGAAAGCCTCCCAATCCCCTTGCCCAGGCTTCCTTATATTGAAAAAGGAAAGAAAAGAGGAAATTAAGTAACATGATCCCTAAAAACCCTACATGTTTGTAAACTTATTATCATTTCTCTCAATTGATAAAAGTTTTCTGTATGATGCTTTTTCTGTCTGATTTTATGTCTCCTTGTATGGCATTTAAAAATTATATTACTATTGCCTGATGTATGTAGATTTGCTTTCCATCAAATTTAAAAAGTGTCTGATGGGCAGGTAGGTGTGATGTTTATGCTATTATATTTCCAAGTAATTTTCATATCCCTACAAGCACACAAGTGCATTTTTTAATATCCGTTGTTTAATTATAGTTGACACAATATTACATTAGTTTCAGGTGTACAACATAGTGATTAGACAGTTACATACCTTATGATGTGATGACCACAATAAGTTCAGTCACCCATCTGTCTCCACACATCGTCATTACAGTATTATTGGCTATATTCCCTATGCTGTATGTTATATCCCCATGACTAATTTTATAACTGGCAGTTTGACCTATTTAATCTCCTTCACCTTTTTCTCCCATTCCCTCCACCTTCATCCCATTTGGCAACCATCAGTTTCTTCTCTGTATCTATGAATTTGTTTTCTGTTTGTTTTGATTGTATTTATCCTGCTTTGTAGTTATGTGCTTCTCATCAGCCGATCCTAGTAGAAAGTAGAATCAAAGCTTGGGAGGGTTTGCTTGTATCTCCGTGTGTGGGCTACAGAATTTTTGCCCATTTATAAACTGGTGGAAAAAATAGTACTTCATAAAAATGATAGTTGGGCTGCTTTATTGGTCATCAGAATAATGGATTCATTCTACTCATGAGGTTGTAGCTCTAGAAACTATATACCTCTATGTAGTAGTGTAGTTCATATTAAACAGTTAAGATACAGATTCTAACAACAAATGTCAAATGATTACAGTATTACTAGGTATTTGTTCACATCTGGCCATGTAGAGAGTCTTGTATAGAGAGTCTTATAATCGTCTCTCCTGCCCCTTCATAATTAGGGCAAGCAGTGTGAGTTCTAACTGTATTATATAAGCTCAGAGATTCTTTTAAATTCTTACTTGCAGAAGCATCAATTTCAGTAATATCGTGCTTTAAACAATTTAAAATTAAGACAAAATTTTTTTCATGGATAAAAAAGTTTTTTTTCTTTCTGTCATTTGTTTTTGTACACTCATTTTGGGTTCTTTAATGCTTTTCAAAAGAAAAGATACATTTTGTTAAAAGTTACTGAATTTTTTAAGGGTGTTTCTTTTCTGCTCATTTCTATTATAATGGAAAATAAGTATACACTTAATAAAACAAGAAAGTTTTCAGTAATGCTTTCAATAGGACTGTTACTTTGTTTCTGAAATTTAATGACAAAGAATAAAGGACCTTAATGTATGACCCTATAGGTTATGTCTTTGTTTTAAAACTCTCTTGGCAATATCTAGCTCTGTCCCTATTTGCCAATCAGTTTCTTTCTCTGTTCCCTTAAGGAAAGAAATAAGAATGAATATTATTTCATGTACTCACCAGTTCTTTTGCTGGGTCAGCCTATATGCACAGGTAGGTCTTGAGGAAACTTTCAGAGTCTGCCTTTTTGATGAGGTAATTTTATTCTACAAGTCTAGTTTGTAGGTTCTCTTCTTGGACTGGGTTTACAGTTCACATTCCTCTGTTTATAATGTGGTGGGGGCTGGTTTCAGCTGAAGCTGATGTGATTGGTCACTTAGTCTGCAGGGGGGCCAATTAGCTCTGATCATGTGGAAAAGAATGCTGGTTTGTTAGGAGGTCTTTCTTTATCCAACACAAACCTTAACAACTCTGGAGAAAGCCTCCAGAACTGACTTGGAGAAGGGGTGCATTTTTTCCCTCTAATCTGGACCAGTCTTTAGTAAGTTTGCATAATCTTACTTAAGAGTTTATTTAAAAGTTCAAAGGGATAAAATTCCCTGCAAGATTTCCTTTTAGCCATCTTTCCTTATATAGCATGTTGAAGTGTGAGATTTTTCCTTTGCTAATCTTTTTTTCCCTCCATTTCTTTGGGGAAGATACCCTTGGGTAAGGACTTTTAGGTGGGATTTGATGAATTGATTTTTACCAGTTTTCTTTTCATATCCCTTCTCATCAGAATAACTATAATTAATTCTAGAATTAGTAATACAGGTAATTTAGTTACCTGAAATCGTTTTTTGGGGTGGACGGCAAGGAGGCAGACTTTTTTTTTTTTTTAAAGGCTATGTACAGAGACCTTGAATAAGAATAAATTGGTACCTTGTACTTACCTTTAAAAACACACCTGTGTGAAGGAACTGAAGGATTGTCTTAAGTCATGTTTTAGTGATGTTTAGGGATGCTTCCCTGAGAAGTATGATGATATGCAGTAAAATATAATGTTCAGAGTACAGAAAATTTAATGTCTAAGTAGTGTTTAGCTGGAAAACATCTGTGATCCAGCTTGCAGCAACCTTGAAATGAGCTGTAGGGTGGCTTTGTATAATGCCTTCTGAGTAGGACTTTTCTCCACCTCCATTAGCTGCCGATTTTAAAACTTTGATCAAACGTCACATGTAAGAGGATCTTAGAAACAAAGACTGCGATTATTCAAAGTAAAATCTTGGAAGGCCTGCTGGGAAAATTATTAATGTAGACCAATATTATGCTACTTAGAAAGTAAAATCCGCCTTTGTAGATTCCTTCTCGTCC